CCAAAATGTGGCTGGAACTTGAGATGTTTATCGTCAGTGCTCTCAGAATATACAGGGTAAGTTGTGCTTTGACTCCTTGATTGTCTCTGCTCACTTTGTTTTATTTCCTCTTCTATTATGTGTTTGGGTCTTGCCCATCTTTCATTCTGTGAAGGACTTTGCCTTCCAGAGTTCAACTGCTCATCTGAATATTTAAGACTATAATTTATCGGTGTATCCAGTTCTCCATCATTGTCATCCATATGGTTTGCACTATGAATTTTATGAGCTAGGTCAGCTGGATATTGACCATAACTGCAAAATTTACTTTCATCGTCTTCAGAATAGGATTCAATGGAGGGCTTCATCTGACCTCTTTTACCATAACCATCACTACTGCTGACACTATTTAAACTATCATTTGAAGATCTCTTATATTCCAGTTTGGCATAAGGCATAGAACATGACCGATTTGCATTTTCTGCCTTAGTGAAATTGTAAGTGTTTGGATGTGTGTGGGCAGCAGAGCTCCTTCTCAGTGCGTTTCTCTCATCTGCCACACCATGCAATTCGGTGGTGGACCCGCAACTTCTCTCCTCTGGGGAAGTATGAATGGCGGATACTTCTTCCATGACTTTAGCGATCTGGGCCACAGTGGTGGACATCTGCAAACCTCGCTTTGAAGAGGTTCCCGGATTTTCTGTTGCTGGATGGTAGTTGCTTAGGCCAATTCCTCGCTCTCTCTCTAAACTTCTATCTTTTTCAGAACGAGAACTTTCTAAACTTCCCCTTGATGATGAAGAGCTGGGCAACACCGTCGTATTCAAATATGGTGAAAGGACAGTCATGTTTCCAGTATTAAAACTGTCTGATCGGTTATCATCATGGCGACTGGAGTCGAAAACATAGTCTCCATAGAGGTTTGGCTTGTGTCTCTGCTTACTACGGTGAGACGCCTTGGGACTTAGGTTGTCAATGTTGTCAAAAGTTTCTGATAAGTGCTGAGCATCTAGTTCTGCTTCCAGGGCTTTTTGTTTCCTAACGTGAAGAGAAGGCAAGCTTGAGCCAGGAGACATAATGTTGGCATCCTTGTACTTGGCAGGCCTATTTGCCATGAGATTCCTTAGAGCCGCAGCACTTCCCATAGCGATCATTTTGTGCTTTGAATGAATGAGGTTCTTGAGCATGCTGACTGCCCCCAGGTCCCATAATGCTTCTTGGTCTTTAGGATTCCTTGCTGAAAGGTTCCACAGCGTGCCACAGGCATTGCTGACTATCGTCAAACTGTGAGACTTCAGGTGTTGTAACAAGGTCTGTAGGCAGTTGTTCTCTCTTAGGATCTGTCTGAGGTAAAAACAAGCAATCACAAGTTAAGCTCAAAATCTGTGTATAGAAATAAAAGGATAAAAAACAAATTTAAAAGTAAAGATAACTATTTCTGATACAATTGTACCAATGACCCTATAAATTCTGAATGTTCCACATCTCCATTTGTTTTAAACACTCAACTGTGAGACTAAGAGAGAGGTCAAAGTGTTAACTCTTTTTTATTTTACATTCCCTATTCTGACCCAATAGCTTATTATTTTTTTTTCCTGGGGTATTTATGCTACTCACAGATAAATGTCCTAGTTGTAGGACTACGAAATCTCATGCTGAACGGGGACTCTGTGGTAATTTAGTCTGTGGATGGGTGCCTCTACTCTGGCTTGATTTTGTGATTCTGCTGCCCACTTAGAAGTGCTGTGTGTATAGTTTTTTTTTTTTTTTTTAAATTTCAGAGGGCATGTGCACCTGCCAGAGAGAGACAACAGATGAGGAGAGAAAGAGGGAAGAAGGAGGGAGGGAGGGAGGGTGAGAGAGAGAGCGTGTTAAGCACCTCCCAATGGGGAGTGGTCACAATGCAATCCCTTTCCTCCATTTCTCTACCCTGTCAGGATTCTGGGCACTCATGAACATGTGCTTATGTTTTTTAAGCTGTTGGGGCCAGGATCTGAACCATGGTCAGCCATATGGGATCCAGGTCCCTTAAACACTAGGCTACAGCTCTGGCCTGTGTTGTCATTATTTTTAAAAATAAAGTGAATCAAGATTTTTGAGACACTGAAACCATGTAAGAGAATCAACCTAATAAACTCTAGGACTTGAAAGAACTAGAGCTTCACACAGGAGGGAACTAAAGTTTAATGACAGGACACTCAGCTTTTGTAGGCTTTAGAAGTGAATGGCAAAGGGGGACAGAAAGATGCGGCACGGTGGACTTTCCCCAGCAGTCTAGTGGCCATCCGAGCACTTACTAAGCGGAAGGACTCTTCTTCACATGGTAGAAAGGGCCCTAAGGGTTATAGTTTGTGCATGAAAAAAAAGATACTTACATTCCTATAGGTACTTCTTTTCTTTATTCATTCATGATAGAGCAACAGTGAGAGGGAGAGGGAGTGGGAGAGAAAGAGAGAGAGAGAGAGAGAGAGAGAGAGAGAGAGAACCCCTGTCCACAGGCCTGGTCCCGCCACAGCTCTCTCCTTCCTGTTGGATCCTGGCTATTGCACACGTGCCAGTGTGTTTCACACCAGCTGGCTGGAGTTCAAATTACGGTCGCCACGCGAGACACGGCTTCTCTGGAGCCATGTTACTGTTGCGCCCCAGAACTGGCTCCTGCAGGTTCTTTGACTACAAGTTCCTCCTGTTCTTTTTCAAACAACAGATGAACTACACTGGGTATGTAAAAACGGACATGTTGTGAGGTACCTATTTACACGACGGAACCCGAGTTCCAAAAACGCGTGCCCTGTTCCTAAGACCTTCTCGTGGCTTCGCAGCTCCAGCAGACTGGATGAACGCCTTGTGCAGAGGGTACGTGACTGCTGCTAAGACACCACTAGAGGAACGTGAGCCTCTCACATGCTCTGGGTCATGCTCACGTTGTTTTAAAATAAGTCCCATATTCCCTGATGTCGCACAATTAAATAAGAAGGGGTTCTGTCCTCATAAACCCTTTTCTACCATATATGAGCTGTACTCGATTATCACGTATTTCTAGATTTCTTTATGGCGCTCTCACTTTCATTAGAGTAAATACACCAGTGAGCTGAACTGCAGGCTAACAGCTGCTCGTGCACCACCATCAGTGCATGCTGCCTGTAGAGCCCTCGCAACTGCACGGGGCGTGCCTGCAGTCAGGACGTGGCTGGAGTTCTATGGCACCGCACTGCCCGTACCTGTGGTCCTCGTTGGTAGCAATGAGGCTGGACACGTTCCGGAGTATCCCACCTCCGCTCTCAATAATGGCTAGGGTGTTGGTCTGGCTCCGGTAGGTGAGCGTGCCGACCAGGAAGGCCAGCGCGCCCGCCACGGCGCAGATGTCGGCCTTGTTCTCAGTGCAGTGCGCTGACAGGTTCCACAAGGCACTCAGGACGCTTTTGAGGGTCGATTCCTAGTGAGAAGCCAAGTATGTGTCACCTAATTAGAACTGGAGTTTGTTTTTCGTAACTTCTATGTTTATTTCTATCGAATAAAAGTTGAGCCTCTATAAACGACACTGAGAAGGAAGGTAAGTATTGCTAAATGACAAGGGCAAGCTGCAGGACAGCATGCATGACGAACACTGTTAGTACAAAAACGTGTAACTCTCTGGCCAATGAGAAAGAATGTGACTTATAAAAGGAAAAAAGGGCACTAGAAAATGATAATTTCCTAAAAATTCCCAAAGAAAAAGTAATTACAAAACCCAGAACTCCTGGGGACCAGCAGTTAGCATAATGGCTATGTTGCTGGACTCCCATGTAGCCAGCTACCGCGGTTCGAGTACTGGACCAGGTGGCTTAAACTCACTCCGGGTGCATGTGCGTGCGTGCCCAAGATCCCGAGAGGAGAATGGAGGAGAAGGGATTGCGGCGTGGCCATCTGATTTTCTGATGAGCGCAGGCGCCTTATAGCAAAAACCTCTCAAAAAAAACAAAACAAAACAGAAGAAACCCCAGAACTCCTTTATAAATAGAATCATGGCCAATTGCCCAGCTGTACCTGGCACAGACCATTCCATCGTGCCTTTGATGACACCTGGTTAAAGCCTGCCCCACTCCTGCGGTCCCTCTCCTCCCTACGTCCCAGTCAAGGAGCAAGTACGGGCCAGACATCTCCCCGTGCTCGTCACGGCGAGAGCACTCTGGAAGACACAGACACGGCAAACTACGGCTGCTCTGGAGGCACGAACAGTTCACAGGCGGGAGACGAGGAGACGAGGGCGGCAGAGGATGGGCACTGCACCCGCCTAGAACCCAGTGTGAACCCATGTCATGGAAGACGGCAGCGCTGTGGAGGGTCTGACCTGTGTGCTCGGTGGGAGAAGGCAGTCGCTCTGGAGGGAAGGGGCACGAGGAAAGGCACGACAGTGGGAATCACAGGGCAGGGCTGAGGAGCAGAAAGACCAGGAGAGCAAGGTGCACGCTGGGAGCCGTGGGAGGGAAGTTGAGAGAAGTGAAAGGAGGCCTCGAGGGGCAATCTTTCTGGTCCCAACCTAATAAACAGCTAGCTGTTTTATTCCCTTCATTGAGAAATTGAAAGAATGAAACAAATTAGAAGTAGGTTTAGAAACTATCATTGGACCAGCACGTGGCATGGTGGCTAAGGGGCTGGACTCCCATATGGCCGACTGTGACTCAAGTCCCGGACCTGACCTATAGCAAATAAAAAACCAAAAACAAAATAAAACAAAACCCCCACACAATATTAATAAAATTAAATATATCTTCAAAAAAACCAAAAAAACCCAAATTATTTGTCAGAGACACGGTCGGAGACCGGGAGGAATGAAGATGTAGCTACATCGCAACCACCCAGCAGGACAAATTCTGTGATGGTCAAGTGGGGTATTCCAAGGACCAGAGTACAGGGTGCAAGGGTTTAGAGTGAGCTGAACTGCAACTGGCCCAGACATGCTTGCTAAAGGTAGAAAAATACAAACTGCTCTCTGTGAGGCTGCAGTCAAGGGCCAGGTTTTTTTTCCCTTTTTCCCCCAGTGTCTTGTAGTCAGAACAAAGGAGACAAACAATTATAGGAGGTTAGAAATACTACAAGTGGGGCCAGAAGGTGGTGTGGTAGTTAAGGTGCTTAACTCCCATGGCCGACTGTGGTTCAAGTCCTTGATCAGGTGGCTTGCTTTCTCACTTCCCTGACCCTCTCTGGTCAAATTTCAAAAATATAATAAAGATAAATAAATAATTCTTTTTTTTAAAAAAAATCACTAGTAAAGGGGACCAGCAGTTGGCATAATGGCTATGTCGCTGGACTCCCATGTAGCCAACTGCAGTTCGAGTCCCGGACCCAGTGGCTTAAACTCACGCTGGGCGCGTGTGCGTGCGTGCCCAAGATCTCGAGAGGAGAATGGAGGAGAAGGGATTGTGGCGTGGTCATCCCCGCTGGGGGAAGATTTCTCACTTTCTGTCTCTCTCTGTCTTTCTGGCGAGTGCATGTGCCCTATAGCAAAAATCTCTCAAAAAAACCCCCCAAAAAACAAAAAACAGTAATAAAAGCAAAGGGAGGAGTTTCAGAAATATAAATGGTCAACAGAGTATAAAATTCCAGGTAAAGGTGGGACCAGCAGTTAGCATAATGGCTATGTCGCTGGACTCCCATGTAGTCGACCGCGGTTCAAGTCCCAGACCTGGTGGCTTAAACTCACGCTGGGCGCGTGTGCATGTGTGTGTGCCCAAGAGCCCGAGAGGAGAATGGAGGAGAAGGCATTGCGGTGTGGCCATCTCCCCGGGGGGTGATTTCCTGCTTTCTGGCTCTCTCTGTCTTTCTGGCGAGTGCATGCACCCTATAGCAAAAACCTCTCCAAAAAAAGAAAAAAAAAAATCCAGGTAAAGGTAGAAAGGAAAAACTGAAGTAGGACAGACCTGCAAACCTAGGTTTTGAGATCTAGTAGAGGATCGTGTTGGAAGCAAAAATCAGGAAGGACCAAAGATAGCATGTCCTCTAAGAAACGGAGGAAGTGACTTATTAGATCAGGATTAGTTACGGGAAAAGAGAAATACCGCAGTGGTTAGGAGAAAGTAAACACAGAATTTTAATTTTAAAAATGCTGGGCTTCTTCCAGATAACTGCAGCATAAAATATAAGGGCCCAGTAGAAAAGATGTAGGAGGTAAAAGAGGGACTGGCAGCTTTCCGTAAAGAGCAACATCTGGGACAGAGTGCAGATAGGAGAGGCCCAGTGCTGAGGGAGTGGAGGGGCCGCACGTGTGGGGAGACGGAGGCAGCGCTGACTCTCCTGGTCAAAACGCAACGCAGCTTCTCCGACAAGCTAATGGACGGCATGGGCAGGGCATCGTGGGCAAATCAGAGGGGAGCGACACCCTCCACGACTGCTGCGTGAAGTACGGACAAAGACAGAGCACGGACGTTAGACACTGCCAGCCAGAAGCAGGCCCACGTCAGACTGGACACTGAAATTCTGTCTTTTTCTTTTTTTTTTTGGAGAGGTTTTTGCTATAGGGTGCATGCACTCGCCAGAAAGACAGAGAGAGACAGAGAGACAGAAAGTGAGAAATCACCCCCCAGGGGGGACGGCCATGCCGCAATCCCTTCTCCTCCATTCTCCTCTCGAGCTCTTGGGCACGCATGCACACGCATCTAGCATGAGTTTTTAAGCCACCGGGTCCGGGACTTGAACTGTAGTTGGCTACGTGGGAGTCCAGTGACATAGCCATTACGCTAACTGCTGGTCCCTGGACACTAAATTTCTAAGGGGCTAGTTTTTCCAAAATTGGCTCTACATTAAAATTTACAGGTGACCTCAGGGAGAAATGATCTTTGAAGTACTCCAACTCTCCCCTGTTTTGTTTTTATGATTCTTTTTTTTTTTTTGACCAGAGGGCATGTGCATTTGCTGGAAAGAGAGAGACAGGGACAGTGAGAGATAAATGAGAGATCGCACTCCCGGGGGCTGGCCATGCTGCATCTCTCCATTTCCTTCCTCAGATCTTGGGCACACACATGAGCCTGGTGTGATTTTCAAGACAGGACTGGAAAAGCAGTCGGCCGTGTAGGAGTCCATGCATCCTGGCCTTTCCTGACGACCAACGGCATTCCATTACACAGCTATTCTACAATTTGTTTGCCGTTCACCTGCTGATAAACACTAGTTGTTTCTAGTTTTTGGTGGTCAAATATCTTTTATATTGCCACCAGCAGTCTGTAAGAACTTCGGCTGCTCAGCCTCCTCGACAGCCCTTGGTCGACGTAAGAGCACACATCAGCCGGTGTGGGATAAACTACTGCGGCATCTCACTGCAGCTCTCCGGGACTAACGCTGGACCTTTCATGTGCTCACTGTCAATCATGTCACTCCTTTCTGAAGCGTCAGCACATCTTCTGCCTGTTCGGTAGTTTTAAAGTTAATTTTATGCAGACCATAAATGTATTTGAATATTATCTTTTTCTTTTTTTTTCTCTCTCTCTCTCTCTCTTTTTTTTTTTTTTTGTCATAGAGCGTGTGCACTTGCCAGAGAGGAGAAAGAGAGATACAGAAAGAGGGAAAGTGAGAAATCACTGCCCAAGGGGGGATGGCTATGCCATAATCCCTTCTCCTTCATGCTTCTCTCAGGATCTTGGGCACACAAACGTAAGTTCCTAGCGTGATTTTCAAGCTACCAGGTCTGGGACTTGAACCATGGTCGGTTATGTGGGAATCCAGTCACCTTAAGCACTAGGCTACCAGCTGGCCCCTTGAATATTATCTTGCTAACTGGTACTTTAGTGGAATACTCTTTCCTATCTAATTCACTTCGAAGGTTTCCAGGTGTAGGATAGTATACATAACTACATAAATAGTAAAGCCCCTTTCCGTCTCTGAAATGAAACACTCTGAAGAAGGAAACGTAGGCTGTGGGCCTAGGAGGACCAGCTGGATCACAGGAAGCCCAGAAGGGCCAGCCCAGTGGTGCAGTGGCTAAGGAAGCTGACTCCCACAGGGCTGGCTACAATGTGAACCCTAATTTGGCTTGAAAAACATGCCCGGGCATGTGCATGCTCACATCACTGACAGGCTGAGAAATGGAGGAGAAAGGACTTCAACAGGACCGCACCCACCAGGGGGTGCTCTCCCCGCACCTGCCCCCTGCCTGGGGAGTACACCTGCCCTCCAGCAATTAAAAAGATCAGCTACAGTGACTTGCCCTGTCCCTCTCAGAATAAGTTTACCTCCTTATTTTTTAAAATTTTAGTTTAGTTTCTGAAACAGATAATCCACCTGAAGAGACTTACTTCTGTAAACAAATGATTTGGGGATTCCTCACCATTGGTCTGATCACCTCTTAATAAACTCACCATCAAATTTTGGGGATTCCAAGGGACTGAGATTTATAGCACTGGCTCGTACTCGGGGGTGTCCCTCCTCCCCGATCTGGGCAACCCCTGGAGACGGTTCTGATCATCAGGAGTCAGGGCTGAGTGTACTGGCAGCCAGTGGGCAAAGGTCAACATCCTGCAGGAAACAGCAGCCCGGACAAAGCATCACCTGGCCCACACTGTCTGTAGTGCTGAGGCCTTCTACTATGTCACTGTGCACCACCGCTGCCGCCGTACCGCTTCGGGAGCGCAGAGTACTCGGAAACTACCGGCTGGTGAGGGAACGCAGGTCAGACGGAGAGGGTCTTCTTGGTGGGAGAAGGCAGCAGAAAAAGTAGCCAAACATGAGATCCCTATTATAACATTAAATGTTTACAAAGTTACCTTTTTAACTTCCAAAGCACATTCCATCAATGCTTTTACACTTCCAACTTCCCGCAGAGTCTTCTTACTATTTACATCGGCTCGCCAGGACAGGTTCCTCAGAACACTTGCAATAACCTGCAAATGAGTCAGTTTTAGAATAATCTGTCTGTAAAACGACTCCTCTTAGTTGCTTTTTTGTTTTGAATGCTAGACGTAAGAGTAAAAATCTGTTAAAGAAACTCCTCCCGCGTTCTAGTAGCGCGCCAAGAGGAAGACCTTTAGTCATCGCCCTTGTTCTAGTATTAACACAACACCCTCCACAGAGACCCCCAAATATCGAGCCATGCCTTGGTCTAAGCCAGGCTACGACCTGCCACTGCCGACAGCGCAGGAGCCCTAGGCAGTACCTGCTGTAAGTCTTCGCTCTCGGATTTCAGCTGGGCCACTAGCGCTCTCATGCAGCCTTTCATGGAGCACAGCGTCGCCTGCAAGATTCGACGCGACAGTCATCAGTGAGGTACCACAAGCGCACTTTATTCTCACTGCTAAATTGCAAATGTAGTTTCACTGTCTCATTTTTATTTTATCGGATATTTTATCCACAAGATTACCTAAGTGAAAGACTGACACCCCCTAATTCTTGGCCATTTGCTCTCCCCTTGCCAAATTGGGAAAGTAAAGTGATAAGAACTGATGAACTCGGGCTTGAGAGTAAGGTCTGTCACGTGGGGGTCAGCACGCGTGCAGACTTGGCCTGGGTGGCAGACACCGCAGGCGGTCCCCGCTCTGCCCCACGTGTGGGTGTGCTTCTGCCTTTGTGCCGGCGTGAGACAGCTGGCCAGGGCAGGGCGCAGTGGGTAGAGGGTGCTTTTGCTGGTGTCGTTTAGGGAGGGGAGTGACAGAGAGCACGCGGTGAACAGTCTGAGAGTCAACGAGCTCGCACCCGAGTCTTCAGGGCAGGCACGGAGACACACCTTGTTGGCGACGTCGCCGAAGGTCAGGTTTGTCAGGGCCATCCCGGCGTAGCGCCTCAGCGTGATGCTGTAGTGGTCACTGGTGAGTCCGTGCATCTCACAGTCCACCTGCAGTAACTCTGCGATGGCCTGCAGTCCCCCTGATCAAACAGGGCAAGAGGAAAAAGACAAAACTCTAAAGTAACGCAACTGGTACTAAGTTAGCAACTGAGGTGTTAGAGTGAAAAAGCTCAAAGACAGAATATCTGGTTACATTTGCCTCATAATTACAAGACACAAAACTGTCACAAAGGGCTCCTGCATGACATGTCCAGAAGTCTCTCCGTCCCCACCTCCAGCTCTGCCTCGCTGAATAAAGGGCACCGATCTCTGTCCGCCCTCAGACACGGCGCTCTGCCAGCACTGAGGCCGGCCGCTCCGAGCAGCACGCCTCCCGGACGGGGCAGGGAGTGCTGCTCACTGCTCACGACTAGGGCTCTACACCTCGTGTTACACACTGTGGCCTACCTGCTCAGCGTTTTTAATCCAAGTATTTACTCACAGGAATGTCTTAATTTTTAATGACACTGCATGAAGCACAGTTGTGTTTTAAATGTAAAAGACTTGCCTGTTCAACTTATTGCCATGTTTTACAAACCTAGTTTGTGTGTCTGTCTGTTAAGTTCTTACTTTTCTGTGACAGTACTGAATACTGACTACCTGAGGATTTAGCATTCTCTTTGCCCCGACTCTCACCACCGGGTACACTCACCAATGCCCACGGCGGTCAACGCTGGGAAGGCAAGGAGGGAAGTAAGGGGAAGGAGAGGTAAAGACACAAAGGAAGGGGTTAAAATAAAGTGAAGCGAATGGTGAGGGACTGAACAAAAGAAAGATCAAATGCATACGGAGGCTATTCAAAAGACGATTCATCGTCAAACAGTAATGACCACGGCCTGCGATAGTGCTCTGTCACTGAGAAGTGGCAGAGAGAGCACGAAAGGCGATTCTTAGACACTGAAGTTCAAGCACGTCATCAATCTGACAGAAAACCAGTACTTTAATATTTCTGTAAAGATCTGAAAGAATCAGAACAGAAAAGAATTTGTAAGTTTACATAACTAAGTTCTAATCATGGGTCAAGATTCCAGGGATTTAACTGTAGGAGGATCCATGTAACTCTTTATGAGTAGAGAACTGAAGATGAGTTTGAATGAAGATAAGTGAAAATTAATTTGGTTAAAGAAAATCCAAACCATATTTAGAAAGTTTCTAAATCATGAATGGATGGAGGAACAATATAGTCAGTGAACACAAGTCAGCCGCTGTCATAAATGAGCTTAAAGTTAGAGCAAAACAGAGAACCAATGAGTGAAGGGGCGATTGTGCAGAGGCACAGGGTGAGATGCAGGAGTGGGGATGTCTCCAGACCAAGGCAGATGGAATCTGCTGAGACTAAGGGGGGATGAGCCCTAACAGGACAGGGCGGGAGTGAGAAGCCCTCCAGGCCACCACACGTGGGAGGGCTCCCACTGCAGCGGCCAGCAGCAAGGAGAGGGCCACAGACGAGGCCACGAGTGGGCACATGAGACCAGTGTGCCACGCTGAGGAGCAGGCCGGGGAGGGAGCCTTTGCCCTGTGGGAATTCTGCATGGACCGCCATGGCTGCAGTGTGCAGGATGGATTCTGATGGGAAGGGACTGAAGGAAGACCTGGCACTGCAGAACGGGAGAAGGTGGCTGGGCTACCCTGGGGAGCAAGGCTGTGATCTGAGCCGTATTTAAGAAGAACCAAAGCACTCAGTTACTAGCTGTGGGGTTGAGGATGAAGGCATGGATGAATCCAAGATTCTGGCTCGAGCGATGGGGGTGATCAGGATGCCAATTTCTGAGAAAGGGAGCCCTGGAAGAGACAGAGACAAGGATGGGGCAGTGACTGATCCTTCGTGACAGTGGAGTTAGAAGTGTCTGAAATACCATTTAAGGAGAGGAGTCAGAGAAGCAGTTCTGCAATGTCTAAAACTCAGCAGAGAACTTGGACGGAAATGCAAATCCGAAAAATACTGACTGAAACTGCGGGAGTGGATGACACTGGGCAGGGGGGAAGAGAGCCTTGGGCAGAGCTTCCAGGAATCCACCCTCCTAAACTTGGGTAGAGAAGGAGTCGGTGTAAGAACAGAAAGGTCTGACCCAGCAAAGGGACGTGGGAGTCACCGCAGAAGAAAGACCAGGGCCAACTATGCTGACGAGGTCCCCGAACGCCAGACAGAAGGCAGAGTGCCATCGCTCCGACAGGAGAGTACGCCCGTGTCTGCGTCAAATCCCACCCGTGTCCCAACATCTTGGACGCTATCTTGAGAAACATAAGATGCACCTAAAGGTTTAAGGATAATAACTGATCAGCAGTTTGAGTATTCTGAATGGGAGAAATAAAAATGTAGGACTTCATTCTGAAAACAAAGACTAAAGAAAGATATGGTGGCTGCTAACGAAAGCACGCAGAACGCGCTAATGGAAAAGACCGTCAATAGCACGTGAGATGGCAGACCGAGCGGGGATCCTTACAGCAGGAGGATGAGCCTGCCTTCCACATTCTTCTTGGTGCTTGTGCCATTTAGACATTTGTTAAGGAAAGGTAATAGAGAAATAACATTTGGTTTAAAAGTATGTTATTTCTGTTTCTTTTGGTTTGGTCCATCAGCATCAGCGTCAAATGCTTCATACTAAAACCAGCGCCAGGGCCCGGCGTCACTGCCCCTCGGGTCGGCGTCTCACCGTCTCCTGACCCTGAGAGCCACCTGGGCCAGTTAGTAACTGGCTCCTCAGCCCCTGCCCTGGAGAGTGTGTCCACTCCAGGGCTAGAGTGTCCATGTGATCTAAAGTGCCCCTCCCTGGGACTTATCTGGAGAGTTTGTGAAACACTAATGAACAAATGCCACAAGCTCCTTGAGAGCCAGGTCTATGTCTTAATCACTGTAAAAGTCTTGTGCTTAGGACAGCTTCTGGAATAAACATGTATTTCTGATGACATAATCTACAACTCCCCATACTAACAGGTGCAAACCTACATGGCTGAGACTCTTCTTGTAGGTAACAATGACAGCCCTAGCTCCTTGGGCTTAGGACTCTCCTTTCATCTGCCCAGGACCTCCTCCCTCCTTACCCCTTACTGCCAGATGCCTTGGGCTGTTTTATACTCCTCCTCCTAACCCGAGGCTGGGAGTGAGAAGGTCACCCCTGTGGCGATGCCCCAGCAGCCACACCCCCAACGGCCCCATCCTGCTCCTCACCTGAAAGCCCCTGCCCTAGCTCCTGGGATGAAATGCCCCGGGTAGCCTTCCTGCCTGAGGAAGGAAGAGGAACAAACACTGAGACGCTGGTCGACGTGTCAGTCCTACGTCTACAGTCACGGCAGCACAGGAACACGCACAAAACTTTGGGGTACCTTGAAATCGGGTAATTTTCCTGTTCGTTCATTACTTTTATCCCCTTCCCATCACTACTAAAGAAAAAAACCAAGTTCTCACAAACGCTGAGACTGTATGGAGTAGGGGAGAACGGGGAGAACACCTAAGATTCGCTGAACTTCCAGAGGAGGCCAGAGACCGGAGGAAGAAAGAGAATCAGGAGGGCCACGTGAAGGCCTGCGGGAAGAGTGTGTGGCCAGAGGGCAGGGCTGCATCTTCGCAGAGCCCTGAAGTGGGCACTGCGGGTGGGCAGCACTCGTGCTCGGCACTCCATTTCTCTGTGTTTAAGAGTCTCTAGGCTTCACCACTTCTACGACAAACAATGGATGGCAATGATGAGGGTGGCAGGAACTCAAAGTGGGGCTGGGAGGGGACATGACACAAAATGGCATGAAAACGAGGGCACGGCCACACTCAGAGGTGTTCAGAATGTCCTCAGGGTGAGAGTGCAGCTACACCGCAGGGCGCTCCGAGCATCCTCAGGGTGAGGGCACGGCCACACCGCGGGGCGCTCTGAGCGTCCTCACAGTGAGGGCACGGCCACACCGCAGGGCACTTGGCATGCAGGTCTGGCTTGTGGCCTGCCCAAACGCGGGGCGCTCGCACACCGCGGGGCGCTCTGAGCATCCTCAGGGTGAGGGCACGGCCACACCGCGGGGCGCTCTGAGCATCCTCAGGGTGAGGGCACAGCCACACCGCAGGGCACTTGGCATGCAGGTCTTGCTTGTGGCCTGACCAGAACACGCCAGCTCACAGGAGGTGGTCAGCATGACCTGGTTTATAGTGTCACGTGTGAGATGAACCTAGAAAGCTAAGAAGAACAGACGCCACCCCAGGAGAAGTGGGAGGCGTTCTGGTCATACTGATGTGTGCAGGCTACTGTCTCGTGTGCTAACAGATTTCTAAATTTAGAATCCCTTCTAAAATTAACTGAGTGTTTCCAACTTAGAGCACATGTCTTTCTGTACTGACCAGATCCAGAGACCATGCTGCTTACGATGAAAATCCAGGAAAGTACGGAGAACCATGAAAATGAGCCCAAACCTCCATTCCTCTGTGCTTGTCAGTGACTGGCAGAGTTCAAGAGCGCGGAGCTGCTCCGCACTGCGCCCGCCCGCCAGCTGTCACATAGGCTCCACCTTGGAACAGGGACAAGGAGCTGCCCGCGTAGTAACCTTTTCATTCCATGGCTAGGACTTTTAAACTTCTGAACAGTTTATGACAGTAGCAGTTTTGGAAACCAGGACCTGGGCTTTTGTTACAAAGGGGAAGCACTGGAACGAAGCCAGTGGTCCTGTGCCCAAGCAGTCGTCACTAGAAACAATTTGTGATTACAGTCTCCACTTACTATGAACGCCTACCGGCACGTAAAGCTTCCGGTACTATCTGTGGTATTAAGAAACGTGTCTGTCTTACCGAGCTCATTCATTGCATGTCTATGTTCTTCATCAAATGAAAGTTTCATTAAGACACACACCGCAGGGCAGATCTGGTGCTCGACCGGGGCGGGCACTGAGGACAAATCACACAAAGCACGCGCTCCGTTACTTCACGACAGAGAGTCCACCTCACTCGCAAGTACGTGGGTACTAACACATCCCTCACACACAGACTCAGCAGGCCACGACATTCGCTAAATGACGAGCATTGTACACACGGCCCAGCACGTCTGAGTAAAGGACTTTCCTTTCCGTAAAACTGTGTGCCACTCGGAGCAGCCCCTGGCACGGTGGTTAAGGCGGCTGGGCTCCACATGGCTGACCGCAGGCTCTAAGCACCGACCTGGTGGCTTGGGAAACTTGCTGGATGTGTGTTTGTGCCCCAAATCTTGAAATGGGGGAAAATAAAGAAGGACTCTGTGGTGTGACCATTCCCCAGAAGTGCTCTCACTTTCTCCTCCTTCCCTCTCAAGCCCCCAGCAAATGCACATGCTCTCTGGCGACCTTCGGACGGAACTGTGTACCACTCACTGCCCTTCATTCAATCTGTCGGAAGCCCTTCATAAGTTTATGCTATGACTCTAAATAACTAATAAAGTTACCCTGACTGCATGAAAGAGTAAAACCATTCTGGTATGAAACTGCTTAATTTTGTTCCTAATTCCTAATTGAGCTATTGTCATGAGTGTGGGTAAAAAGTGCACGGCTGTGGAAAAATGTGATGGCAGAGAAAGCTTGTTAGATAGCTATACATATACTAGATAGTAAATAAGAACTCTGAAAGAAAAGGAAGCAAACAGACCTCCACCGTAACATCATGGGCAAGGGTTCACAACTCACCAGTTAACTTTTCCAAAACAGCTACTAAGAGTGTAAGGTACAGGCCATTACACCGAGATAGCTAAGAAAACAATCTGAACTGGTGTGTCCTTCCCGGAAGTTGCCTCATCTGGTCTGCTCATTCCTAAGACACACAGAAGCAAGGACCAGCTCCTCTGCTTTTTTCCTATTCTGGTTAATTTTCAGATTTTAAACAAGTTCATCTTTATACTAAACTTAGAAACAAAGCTGCTACAGCTTCCTAAGTCATGCTCTGACCCTCACTTTTTCCTGCTCCCCAAATCCTATGTGGATACAACAGAGTCATCTTCCTCTTGTGTGCATGCACACACATGTGTGAGTGTGTTTGTGTGTGCATGTATTTTTTTGAGAGATTTTTGCTATAGGGCATGTGCACTTGCCACAGAGACAGAGACAAAAAGAAAGTAATCAACCCCCAAGGGGGTCCACCATGTCACAATCCCTTCTCCTCCGTTCTCCTCTTGAGATTCAGAGTACACACGCACACATGCCCAGCGTGAGTCTTGAGCTACCAGGTGCGGGACTTGAACTGTGGTCGGCTACGTGGGAGTCCAGTGACATGACCATTACATTATCTGCTGGTTCCAGTGTATGCATTCTTATCAGGTGAAAGGAAAGCCTTACCTTATGAACTTGCTGCTTCTGATTCTGGGCTATAAGAATGAAGTGAGTTATGTCTTTAGATGTCCTAATTCAACTCCATGTTTCCTTACCCTGAGGGAGAGGGCTGGGGGCCCAGGGTCCCCCCTGCCCAAGGAGCTGGGTGGCCTGTCACCCTCACTGCCTGGAGCAAAACGGTGTAGGAGGGAGGAGAACCCTGAGCCGAGAGCCACGAGGTCAGGTTTCTGTTTCTGGCTCTCCACTTTCTAGCTGTGAGGCCACAGGCATGACTCATGTCTCCTCCTCCGTAAAATGGAGGTGGTACTATCTGGCTTTCCTACTTTGCAAGGCTGTCTGAGGGCCAGGTAACAGACACAGCACTGTGTCCACTGAACGGATGGTCACCATCGGCTGACGGACTCACGTAAAGTCACTTTCCTGAGGTGAATCCACTGAAGGGACAACAACACACTTACTCACGTTCTTTCTAGATCTACTATGCTTTTTCTTCTTTTAAACTGGCCAGAAGGCACGTGCCAGAGAGAACCAGAGAGAGATGGGGTGGGGGAGGCAGCCCCAGTGGGGTGTGGTCGTGCCGCGACCCCTCCTCCATCTCTCCACCTTGTGTGACTCCGACGTGCAGGCGCGTGTGACAGACCCGCGCTCTAAGTGCTCATCTCTCTGGATTTACTGTTCTTTCCTGGTTGCACAGTAGTGGGGATGACGTTTTCCTTCGCTAAGTTTTTCTAGGCAAATATAGATGTAAGCTTTAAAATATGTTTGCAGGGTAGATGGCTAATATGAATTTCCCCCTCCTACTAATGAAGAAAATAGAACTAAAATTTTTCTTAAATTCTAAAACTCGCACATTTGCTTTGAAACATGTACTTAGACGTGCACACAGAGAACATACTTGGATTTTTGTCCTGGTCCATGCCTTGCTCATGGGCTTCCTGCCACTCCCAACAGGTTTCACAGTACGCGCGTATCTGTTCCAAAAGATGAAGGACTCGGATTTCACGCCTGCCTCTCTTGTCATCAGGCTGTGAGTGAATGATGTTGTGGAGTGCTGCACTGGCCCTGGCCCGAGCCTCTTTACTGCCCCGGGGGTTTCCCAACAACACAGAGTCTTTGTCATTGCCATGTAATAGCTGGATGAGGAGAGGAAGACACCCCGACTGTCGCATGGATATGCAGCTGTCCTGGGAGCTGGACATAGCCAGCAAGGTCCGCGACATGTCGTCCTTATCGTGAGTGCCAAGCATGGACAGCAGCGAGTACACCATTTCCACCTGCGGGCCAGACGGGTTTAGAGACAGAGTTACCACGTCAGCGTCGGGGAGCCAGCACCGAGGGGGCTCCGTTCACATAAATGTGCGTGTGTATGAAGTACATGCACACGCATGAAATACGTTACAATAAATGACTCACTATATGTTATACGTGTTTATATACGGTATACATATATATAAATGTATACGTAAAACCTTTCAGAGTAAGGTAATGAGTATCCTTTCGAAATCCATATCCTCACCCATTTGTTTATGTGAGTGAATAACAGTGGTACTATACGCAGTGTTGAAAGAGAAAGTATGTTTTTTATATTTAAAAATCACTGCTTTTCTTGATCAGTTAGTGGCAATCTGTTTATTAGAGTGAAAATCAATTAATCTCTCTCTCTCACATACACATGCACACAGAGAAATGTGGTTTAACCAAATTCTTTACATGACTTAAAATTCTATTCTACTTCCTTTAATCTTCTTATCATCAATAAACAGAAACTATGCTGCAACAATTACAATCAATGTTTTTTAGCCATCATTAATTCTGTTAAACTATATAGCTATATATATAAACTATATAACTTCTCCTTTATACATGTAAAAACAGTTTGTCATAAAAAGGCCAACACCATGATAAACGGCAAAGCCAGGATGCACAGCCATTTTTAAAGCAAGTGGTAAGCTGTCGTTACTGTGAGAATGAGTTCCAGGAGTATACGGAAGCAGAATGTAAACAGGAAAATGTCACCCAGTTATAGCGGGCCAGCAGGAGGCTCATTTTAAAGCTAGAGGCTATTGTTATATAGGAGAGCTGTCCCATGAGGAAAGCACCAAGTCTTTAAATCAGTGTTCTCGATCATGGGAATTCTGCCCTGTCAGCACACATCTGGCGACATCCTGGGGACATTTCTGCTGTGACGACTGCAGGGTGGGAGTGGAAAGGGTACTCAGAGGGCAGAGACCCGAAGTCTTGCTACACACCCTACAGCACGGAAACGAACTACCTATTCAACAGTCCCCTTGAGAAGAGAGTCGAGGCCGGGGGTGAACGGGCTCTCACTACACTTCCGTGCACACCGTGGCCACAGTCGCGTTCTGAGGAGGCACTGGAGGGCTGCGGATAACTGGGTACTCATCACACTGCAGTACACATTTTGGCCCCAGCACGTGCAAGCAAGCTGTGTGATGCTAGTGAAGGTATTTGATACGTCTGGTCTCAGTTTTCTGAGTCACCAAATGAGAAGCATTTACCTAGCTAACGGGGTCTTCTCTGTGAGGAATGAAATAATGCGTGTGCCGGCCAGCAGGGGCCCCCGAAGCCTACAGTAGGCCTTAGAAGGAAACAGTGTTCCGCCTGCTGCTATCACGCCACAGCACTGTCGACTGCAAGGGCTCCTTACAGAGAAGTCCACGTCGATGAGGGACAGGGCTGGAGCTGAACTGTTATGTAAAGATATAAGAGCTTCTGGAAACTGTCTTCTGCTTCAGTCTTTCAGAGGGTAAGAACAGCACATGGTTTTTTGAGAGGATCAGAGACAAGGGACACACAGCACGGTTACTGGCATAGGAGAGGTCCTGAGTGGTAACTATTGTGAATTATAAAAAAATTAAATCTGAGACTGATAATGTGATCAATGAAAATTCCCTTCTTAAATCAACATTAGCGATTTCAGTAATGTGGCTAACAGCCATTATACTACTTACAGTTAGGGAAGAGTATTGTGTGAGAATAATGAATGGAAGTAAGTATTTAGACTTAACTAAAAAAATATTGTTAACATTAGAATTCCATCTTAGTTAATACAACATTAAAGCCTTTGGCTTTAAAACAATTACAGAATCATTATTTTCTTATCAAATATTATTCCCAAATTCTAAAATATCTGCAACATCTGAGATGCGCTAAGAAAGCCCACGACTGGCATCGGCTCCACCTGCTCTCTCACCCCTCCAGTGAGGACATGGAGGTGCCCACTGAGCAGGCACGCGGAACACAACTCCTGCCTTACACCAGGGAGCATCACGCAAAACGGCTGGTGACTCCGAGGTGGCAGATGGGTCACCGGGAAGGGGAGCGGACTTTGGGAATCGGCACGTGTCTGGTGAAGAAGCAAAGCCCAGCAGGAGTGTGGGAGGCTGGCAGGACTCTGCAGGCAGTTTGCGATGAGGTGGAGGGAGGCGGTGCCACTCCAGGTAAGCACAGAGGTGGGAAGTCACAGAGGACATTCAGGAAGCAGGATACGAGCCAGTATGGTGAGAGCTTAGGGCACTCAGAGAGACGGATAAGGCTGAAAAGGAATAAACTAGCCAACTGGGCACTCGTTAACAGTCTTCATGTTCCCTTTGTTTATAGTTCTTTATATAAAAAGACCATGTTTCTTCATGAGACTGAAGGAGAATTCTCTAGAAAACGCATACGCAGACTGAGCAAAGCTCACGCATCAGCAACCGGGGTGCACGTCCGGTACCTTAGTGCCCAGGTGACTGGTCAGTCTTCGCGGAGCGGAGTGAGCGCTACCAGAGCTCAGGACACTGGCCGTCTCAGGGTCCACTCGTGGAGCTGAGCCCTGGAAATGAAGCACATGACAGGGAGTGTAATCGCATGACAGGTACATACTGATGACTCATCTGTGGTACTCCAAACGAACAGTCTTTTTTTTTTTGGAGAGGTTTTTGCCATAGGGCGTGTGCGCTCACCAGAAAGACAGAGACAGAGAGACAGTGAGAAATCACTCCCTGGGGGGGGGATGGCCACGCCGCAATCCCTTCTCCTCCATTCTCCTCTCAGGATCTTGGGCACGTATGCACACGCACCTGGCATGAGTTTAAGGCACCGGGTCCAGGACTTGAACCGCGTCAACTACATGGGAGTCCAGCGACATAGCCATTACGTCAACTGCTGGTCCTCAGATGAACAGTCTTTATGGTAAACAGCTAAGCACATGATTAAAACTGTGGCCACTGGGCCAACAGATGGCCTGGAGCTTAAAGCAGCTGGATCCCACATGGCCAAGCGGGCAGCTGGAGTCCGGGACCTGGTGGCCTGAAAAACACAGGCATGTGTAAGATGCATGTTCAAAACCACAAGAGGCTGATGCTGGATAAGGACTGTGCAGCTGGGTAAGGGCTCTGGGGGTGATTTCTCACTCCCCTCGACCCAAAAGCACATGAGGCCTAGAACAAACTGGGGGCAGCAAAGGATGGCCAGTATAACTGCTCAAAATGAGTTTTACCTATGAAGTTATTAAGAATATATTAAAGGAAAACTGAAGAAAAGGTTTCTTACATAATTACAGTGTGGTGGTAAGCAAACACTGAAGAAATTTAAGAGTAATATTTTTTGGTTTTTACTTTTTAGAAAATTTTTGTTTGTTATACGGTATATGTACAAGAAGAGAAAAAGAAGGAGAAAGAAAGTGAGAAAGCATGCCTCAAGGAGGGGTGGCCACACCACAATCCCTTCTCGGCTCACCCATTCTTCTCCCAGGGTTCTGGACATGCGTGTACACGTGCTGGCGTAGTTTTTCCTGCCACCAGTTGAATTTAGCCGCACTGCTGGCCACGTGAGACCCAGCTGCTGCCTGAACCACCATGCTGCGAGCTGGCCCTGAGGTAATATTCTTAACAGACTGAGAGAAGTGGAACTACATTCAGTTAAATATAAGTTGACTGATGAAAAGCACTAAAGGAATATTCAAATTCCCAGAAAAATAAGTGCAAATTTGCTGCAGTCCAAGTACTCCAAGATCTTACGGCTTATGAGAGCGGCTTAACGCTTCTACTGTAGAAAGATGTAAGAGCGTAAACCACTGCAGTGGATATAAGCACCTAGGTGAGAAATGTGAAAATGCTAGGGGACACGCAGCAGCAACTACCTGCTTAGGGACTAATAAAGGCTCCATAGAATAAGGAACAGTCAGGCCAGCCTGTCTGTGGGGTGGTGCTGTGGTGCTGAAGGTGGCTGGATCCCATATGGCCAGCCAGAGTTCGAGTCCTGCACCTGGTGGCTGGAGAAAGACAACAGGCACGTGTGCACACATGCCAAAATCCCAAAAGGAGGGAGAGATGGAGAAGAGATTGCAGCACAACCTTTCCCATGGGGGTGCTTTCTCACTCCCCCCCCTCCGTGAGCGCATGTGCCCTATTTCAGGGAGGCCTTGACTTTGGGGACGGGAGACTGGGAGGAGCACGTGTGCAAGGCGTGCGGCGAGACTGGCTGGACTGACCGGTCCCAGACCTCGCGTGTGAAGATGCTGGCTTTAAGCTGTGGATGCGGCAGTGCCACTGCACTCTAGGCAGGGAGATGGCACAACGCGGACTGTGCCTTACGGAGCACGAAGAGCTCACGCTGGAATTCGGGAAAGGCACTTCTGACAGCCACCTGGCTCTGAGGGCGCGGGTGAAGGAGGTGAGAGTGGGCGGGGCAGGGCCCTGGAGGGTGCAGGGGAGGAAACCAATTATCTGAGAGCCGACTGGAAGTGAGGAAGGAGGTGCCGGTGGCTGGATAAATGGTAAGTAAGGGGGCGTTCCTGGGTGAGGCAGACCCAGAAGAGAGGTCGGCACTGAGCTGAAAACAGAATGCATATCTGCACAGGAGCGGTGGCTGCAGACCAACACGAGGGACAGCACACAGGCCGCAGCTGAGGCCACTCACCGACGATGAACACTGATGAGGGGCCAGCAGGTGACGTGATGGTTATGTTGCTGGACTCCCATGTGGTCGACTGCAGTTCAAGTCCTAGACCCAGTGGCTTAAAACTCACACTGGGCGCGTGTGTGTGCATGCCCAAAACCTAAAGGAGAGGAGACTGCAGTGTGACCATGCCCCCTGGGGAGTGACTTCTTGCTTTCTGTCTCTCTGGAGAGTGTACACAACCAACAGCAAAAATCTCTCTTTTGGAAAACACACACACACACACAAAACGTGATGTGGACAGCACTTGGGCAGGTGGCGACGGCACGCGGTGCCCTGCGAGCTCCTCCACAGGGAAGGCTCCCACTGGGGTCTGGAGACCTCTCTGAATACAAAGGGCTTGTGGGGCCCAGGATCTGCGGCTGCCTGAGGGCTGGGAGTGGGTTGTGGCACCGATACCCCATTGTGCTGTCTGTCCACTCCACCCTTCTGTCTTTTTTCTCATGCACAGAACTGGAATGAATGAATGAAAGAGATACACACACAGGATAGGATTCAATCAGAAAGCAGTATTTGTGGACACCCCGTTGCAGTTCTCAACCTTTCAAGATAGCTAGAACACAAGTTTGTTCAGACAGAAGTACCACGGGTAGTCTTAGGCCTAGTAGGTCGGGGGGCAGCCCTGCAGGGTCCAGTGTCTTTCAAACAGAATGCTCCGCTCACTGGAGAGGGGTGTGGGGACAGGAACGCGTGATGGGAACGGTGGGCTAGGAGGGCTGAGTGCAGGCCCCCACTCTGGAGCGCACAGAGGGCAGAGGAAATCAGCACCCCCAAGTGTACCCCGGTTCCCTGAGTTGTGGAACCGAGAGCCTGTAACTTCTTTCTGTGCATGAAGCTCACCTTCGGTTACAAGTCAGAAGCTGGCTTGCTAGCTGCAACCTTCACAACTCACAGCTAGCGTGCTCTTAGGCAGACCACGTAGGAAATGGTTAACGATGCCTTCCTCAGTGGTCGCTCAGGGTTCTAACAGGTAATGATTAAACACTCACGCAGAGATTACGCATGTGCTATAACAAGTTCTTTAGAGGGTAAAACTCAAAGGTCATTTTTAAGAGGGTTGCTTGGAACTTCCGCAAAGTCGTTTTATGGCCCACGGTTAGGTTTTCCTGGCTAGTTCACAAAAGCATGTTTTAGACCACTACTTGCAAGAGCATTTTTAAGAGAAAAGTACATTTTTCAAAACTAATTCAACTGTACATTTTAAATGGGTACATCCTAATCATCCCTTGATAAAGATGATTTAAAAGAATCCTACCTTGAGAGAGATGTTTGTCTTCCCATATAAAAACATAAAACCTACTTGCTCGCGCCCACACCGGGAAACCTCGGGCTGGCCCAGAGTGGCACCCTTTCTAGTCTCCCCTGAGTGTGCGTGTCTGGATTTTTCCTGCTGCTTAGTCCTCGAGGGCTGCTTCTCAATTTGGAACAGGCCACAGAAAAAGACAGACTCTGCATCTCTTTTCACTGCTACAGCTACTGAGTGCTTCTAGAACGTACTTTCAGCCTACATGCAACAGGAAACCAGCAGTGACCGAGCTCCTACTGCATCCGGGAGTGTGCTAGTCACCAGGGACACGCCGGGTGAGACGTGTGTGCGCTCACTGCTCACGGCCTGGCGGGGCTCGGCATGGAAGTGCTTTGACAGGCTGTGCGAGTACACAGGCGGGCATGCAACCTTCTCCCGGGACTCCAGAGAAGGCTTCCGGCACAAAACGGCATCTGATTCTTCACTTCAACTATGAAGAGAAACTTAGCCGATGCACGGGAGGAGGGGGTTAGCCACGGGGCAGTCCAGGCAGAGGCAGAGGTATGAAAGAACCAGTCTACCGGATGAGAGAGTGTGGGCGTGTGTGCATGTGCGTGTGTGTGTGGTGGGGAGCAGGTGAAGAATGACGGGCAAGGGAACCAGCAGCTGGCGTAATGGCTATGTCGCTGGACTCCCATGTAGTCGACCGCAGTTCGCGTCCTGGACC